TCGCAAAGTTATGTTACACTGAACAATCATGTAAGGAAAACTAAATATCCTGTGACTAACAAACACACCACAACACCATACCGTTCAGAGTGACATAGGGCCCCACGCGCCTATGTGGTGAAATTGATTATGGTGATGATGTAATAGAATATATAAACATGGCAATGTGCTAGTATTCGATATATGGCCTTTAGTGGCCTATTCCTTTGCGACATTTGTTAACAAAAATACATAACATAATATGCATACATATGGAACCATATATTAAGAATTAAATCAATTTGTAACATTCCTACACACATGTATATATATATATATATATTTTATATGAACTTGTATACTGTTTTTTAACTGTTTCTATATACTTAAAATATATGTACATATAAAGTAACCAGTCCAACACATATGTGCTGTCCACAAGAGGAATTATTTTACCATTGTCCTTCCGGGTTTAGACTGTGTAGGGACCCACGTCACGTGCCTTGCAATAAACACTTGTTCAATATGTTGCTCAAAACTAAGCAGGGGCCCACCCGCCTGCCGATTACCTATGTTATTATTAAAGCCTAAAAGTGTTTTTCATACAGGGGCCAACGCGCCTGTATCCTTAATGTTGATTGGGATTGTATATGGGAACTGAACGGATGTACTTTTTAAATGCTTCCGATTTCCACCTGCCCAATAAGCGAATTTTGGCATCTGTCATGCCTCTTTCCGCTGCTAATGTTGCCCCCCCAATCCTGAAAGAGTGACCTTTATACTGGGAGCTATCTAACTCGCAAAATCGAAGGCAACGTTTGATTGTTAAATCAAAGGTATATCGGACTACTGGCTGTTGATCCTTGTTGAGGTACAGGTAACCCTGGCTCGGCCCCCGTACTGACAAGTACCCCAATAATGCGTTGACCGGGCATATTATAGAATCTTTCTCTAGACTAGCCACTGTGACACTGTGTACTCTATTGTCTGAGTTATGTTTAAAGTTAGAATAGTTTATCTGAATACTGGTGGGTTTGTTGTGGTGATAGCCGATATGTATATCTGAAAGTTGGAGAACATTTTTGACAACCTGGGAACTGGTGTAAACAAGTTCGCCTATGCGAGCCAAGCCATAAAAGGCTAAAGTGAAGATGGAACGATAAAGATGTTGTTCGTACTGGTCAGGACAAAGAAAGGTCAATGAAGATACTAACCTATGAAGGACTGGTTCAGTAATGGGAAGACGTGTATCATATGTTGGGGAAATTTTGGATGCTCCAGCCAAAAGCTTTCGAATAGTGAAAGACTTTGTTGGATCTGTATGACCCGCAATATTGTGTACGTATGCTATCGCTGATAAATGTGAAGTTATCGTAGAGGGCGAAAAACGTTTCTCATGACAATGAGCTACATAAAGTGCAACGGTGGCATAACTAAGTGGAATATGAGCAGGAGTGTGCAACACAGTGGTACAGAAGCTGTCCAAGTCGGACAAAACCTTGTTATAAGTTTTTTGGGTAGCTGGTGCCAGACCAGCAGTCATCAATTTTTTCAACGTAATAGGTAAAGTTCCTGATCCAACAGTGTCTGCACTGATGTTGGCTTTGGGGAGGCCGATGGACATAATTTTTTGAACTTCTCTACCTGTAAACGAGATAAAGCATCTGCTAGTGTGTTGTCATGACCTTTGATATGGACACATCGAAAAAGTATATTGTACTTTAGGCATAACAATACTAACTTGCGTATTAGCCGCATGATAACTGGATCTCGCGATGATTGTTTGTTAATTACTGGGATCAGAGCCTGGTTGTCGGTGAAAAACCAGATGCATTTATGTTGAAGGTGTTCACCCCAAGCTAAAATAGCTAATACAATTGGATATAACTCCAGTATGGCTATGTTAATGCCTTTCTGTCGTATTTTTGGGACCCAAGTACCATAAAACCACTGGTTCTGAAATATACCCCCATAGCCTTTAGAAGATGAGTCTGTGAAAAATTTGATATTATCACTGAACAACCATTTTTCGTCTAAGAAGAACTGGGAACCATTAAAGTCTTGTAGAAATTCTTCCCACATGACAAGGTCGGCCTTGGCCGCCTTTGTAAGACGAATAAGGTGGAATGGCTTGTTAACTCCCATAGTTAAATCAATAAGTCTTCGCAAGAAGGCCCGTCCCGGTAAGACAACAGTAGTGGCAAAATGTAATGTACCAATAAGGGATTGCAGATCTTTTAAGGTTACTTTCTTGCGGGTTTTAAATGAGGTGATAAGTTCTTTGCATTTAACCAACTTATCTTGAGGAAGTCTAGCTTCCATGTTTCTGGTGTCCAAAGTGATACCAAGGAATGGCAATACCTGTTCAGGTCCAAAAGTTTTTTCGGGGGCTAATGGGATACCCATATATTCACACATCTCTTGAAAGGAATGAAGAATAGCTTTGCATTCTGTTTCAGTTTGGGCAACAAAAAGAAAATCATCTAATACATGAACAACTGCTGGGGCGTTCAGTTTGGTATAAGCTATCCATTCTAGTGCAGTACTGAGTTCTTCGAAGATTTTACAACTTTCTGATAAACCCATAGGTAAACATCTGTCGAAATATATTTTCCCATCCCACTGTAAGCCTAACAACCGGCGGTCGTCCGGATGTATGGGTATAATTCGGAATGCTGATTCGATGTCAGTCTTAGCTAAAAAAACTACCTTGGCCTAGCTGTTTAATGTGCTTAATTGCATCCGATATTGTGGCGTACTGCACCGTTGACGACTCTGTGCTGATTCCATCATTAATCGATAGACCTTTTGGGTGACTAAGGTGGTGAATCATTCGATATTTACCAGGATCTTTCTTAGGGACCACACCAATGGGGCTGACATGAAATTCATTGTAGGGGGGAGACGTAAAGGGGCCATCAATACGCCCTGCCTGTAATTCTTTCTGAAGTTTGTCTTGAATAATATGGGGAAAATCTTTTGCAGACTTAAGGTTCTGACATGTTTGTTTGAAATCCCCCCCATCATAATGAATGTGAAAGCCTTCTGTAAAACCTTGTACAAGATAGTGGGTTTTGTCTTTATCATAACCTGCTAACATCTCTGCGAGCCTATCGGCGATAATAGGGGTAACGATTTCTGGGGAAACCACGTGGTCTTGGGGCATATGGTTGAAAGCGGTGTGGAGTGTATGGATTTTGGTTGCGTTGGGGACGAAAAGTAGGTATGGACCCCGCATGGGACCGCGGTGCTACTGAGGAAGCAGTGCAATTACTGGGGTGGTGAGAGCCGTGACATGCTGGACAGCCATGAAAATGTTTACAGCCCCCCTCCGCTCCAGGGCAATTTCTACTCTCAAGAAATTTGAAACAAAAACCTTTTGGGTGTGTGAGAGTGAACGACTGTTTTGTCTGTTGTGAGGTTTGCCCAGCTTTTCGTATGATAGCCTCGTGCCAAAGTTCCCACTCTACACGGTCCCAGCCCTGCTCCCCGTTTTTTGCCTGCAACTGCCTAAATGAAGTATCATAAAACTGCCAATCAGCCCCTTTACTGGCTAGTTTGCGTATGATTGACATGTATTTCAAGAGGGCCCCAAACACTTGTGGTTTTTTCTCACAATATATGCTGGCATATATGTGGAAACTGTTGGTCCACTGGTCTATGGACAGAGATTTGGTTTTAAGTTTAGGCACCCACTGAACCACAGGAACCCCAGCCATGTACTTGATGACCTGTTCAAAGGCCTCATTATCCTTCTTGTCAATGAGGGACATATCAATATATTCCCCCGCCCAAATTTTTTCTTTCATAGGCTGAGAAACCATTGCTGGCAGGGGAATGGCTGTTGAAATAAATGCCTGTGGATTTGACTCATTGTCTGGGGCCACCTGTGAAACAGTTGCTGCCACATCTATAGCACTATGTAACACTGAGTTGAATATTGGTGTATTGTGACCCTCACCACCGGTGTTGTCTATAGGCGAAAAACCTGTCAAGATAGGCGGCTCAGCAGTGGCTGATGAACGTGAGGATGTTGAGGCAGCCAGTGAGGATGTTGAGACAGCACCGGCCCCTGCTGCATTAAAGTTAATTTGGGGAAAAAACTGTCTACAGGCTTTTTCCACACCTTGCTGCACAGCCCTCTGGACAATTTGTTCAACGTCCGCCTCGGGTATCATTCGCCCAGAGGCGACACTGTTTTCTTGTACTTCTGCTGTACCTGGTACTTCTCTGGTTTGAGCACCTGTTTGGGCAGAGGTAGCTGTATCAACTTGACTCTCAGCCAACCGAGACCTTTTGGGGATTGTCGAATGATTGGCTACCGCCTTCCGTCTCGGACGCATACTGTCTGGTGTCTGAAGTGCATGACAGGACATATGTGCAGGCATTTTGACATATCATTTGTTGCAGTATATTGTGACGTGTAAATAAGATTATAGCTCTAGTAGTATAGCCACATATAAAATATTGAAGGAAATATTGATGTTATAGCAGTTGGAGTATATACCAATGTACTCAAAGATGTAAAAATGTAATCAACACTGTAAATTTGTATAATAGTAAATAATAATTATTTTTTGACTCCATTATAACCAGCATGACAGACAGGGAGAACATACCATGTATACCGACTACCTACAAGTAGGAAGTATTGGCAATAGTGAGTACATTGCTGTAAGCACCGGTATGAGCCACGCTGCTGTACAATGCATGCATAACAAAATGAAAAATTGGAAAAAATACTGAAACCATCATGGGCCAGTAACACAACTGAAGCCTTTTGAACTGAAACCACTATGGGCCAGTGACAAATCTGAATGATGAAGGTTTTTGACAACCAAAGGCCAGTAATATATATTCCTTCTGATTTTCTATTGATCATGAACCCACATGGGCCAATACTATTATTTATTTATTTTTTAAAGAAAATAAATATAGTGGCATTGATGCCATTACAATATCTAAATTTACCAGATATAAAATCATGATAAATTTGATTAATGCTGTATAACAGTGTAGTACATTACTGATATGAATTGATTAAAATTATGTGGCAAGGTTTTACAAAATATCTAAACTTACAAAATGTTCATTGGTACTAATTGCTTAAAACTGAACATATGCAACAATATTTAAGAAAATAAAACAACAACAACACTAAAATGTAACAAATATAGTGTCTCTCATGATATGACTTGAAGTCTACTGCTGTAAGGGAGGTAAATCGAAGAAAAGTCATTGTAACATTACTCGGTCTATCTAGAATTGTGGGGCCATATCACTCGCTTTCAGTCCAAATAAAACACCACCTCGGACAGACTTGAAATATGGGTGTTGTCGTTTAAAATGAACCCCATCCGAGTCATACAGTCGGGTTAAATCTGCCATGCGGTCATGTCGCCAAAATTTACAAAAAACACTCCCGTCAAGGGCGGAAGAAAGCCTGCTGTTTAACTCTTTTACTCTCTGGTTATACACATGAATGTCTACATCACCTCTATGAGAACGAGTTCTCAGACGCGTGAAAAGTTCAAACACTACCACATATTGCACAAATGGGGCAGCGAACAACTGTTCTATCAAAGAAGTAAAGTTTTTAAAAACAACGTCGGGGGTAAGTTCTGGACGGCTCAGGTCATTCCCCGCTATTTGGAGACAGATCACGTCGGGTCGATAGAAATGAATGTCGCCCATATATCGTCGTAATGTGTCAATGGTACCGCCTGAGTAGCCAACCATCTGTATACTGTGCGAATCCTGGCGAAAACCAAGATTGGTGGTGGAAGTTTGTTCGTCACAATATTGTCCCATACGTCGTATGAGGCTATGCCCCCAAACCAACACAGTTTTATTCGCCATCGCCAAATCGAAAAACTACAGATATAACGTTACTTACATACAAGGGACAATTAAAGCAAAAAGTCTACTTTCCCTGTCTGTTTTCTTCTTCCACAGCCGTCATTGGGGGAACGGTTCCTGTAGCGTGCGTACCGCCGCCATGTTTTATGTTGATCCTGATGCTGGCTCACAGTTTTGATGCATGGGAAGCTTCACCGATCGAAATTTCCTCGCGGAGATAACAAAAAGTTCGATCAAAATCTACTACCAGTCGTTTGTAAGCAAACTGAAGCATAAACGACAAGCCAACAAGCACAAGATGTTGAAAATTCAAATAAATTGCTGCGACTGTATAAATAAAGATGGCGATCTTCTGAAAAAAATTTCTTCTAAATGTTTAGCTGCCAAGTTAAACTGACCAATGAGCTTTGACCTCTGATCTATGAACCCGGATGTGGCAATCGCCTTTTATGGGTTAGGGGGCGTGGCGATGAGCTAGCCCGCTAATGTAAACAAAAACACTGAATTATAACAAAATGGGCAGTACATGCAAAAACACGTTTGTCTTTTTACAAAATCTCATTTTGACAAACTTTGTTACAAATGACCATAACTTCGGTCTTACAGAAAGTTGACAGCACTTCTTCAATGTTCACTTTCTCACTACTGCACATATGACATTAGTACACATTAAATTCTACTTTAAAAAAAATTTAGAAATAAAGTTTGACACATAAAACATCAGGCCGTCGTTCGAATGTTTGATTACATGTACACTGCACCTTTGATTTTACACTTCACTTTTGATATAGCTGTATTCTAGGGAAATATACTGTTTTGTATATCAATCTTGATATAACTGAGAGATTAACATACTTGTATACCTCCATACTTGATTATTGTATCACATGCAAGTGATAAAATCCACAGTTCACCCAAAAAAGATCATGGAAGAACAAATTCAATCAGGAAGTGAAAAAAACATGAAAATCTAACTAACTTTGGCATATGCTGTAAAAAAAATATTGGAAATATTTGCATTGTAACACTCCTGTATATTTTCTCTAGCTGTCTTAAGAAATATTTTTTGTGCCTTAATAGAGATTTATTCCTTGTCTAACGCGGCTGTGATAGCAGCAGCTTTTAAGGCCTGGTCGAGGTACTCCATGAAGCGATGGACGTCCTGGAATGAACAGTACAGAGGGGCTGGGGACACTCTGATCACTGATGGTTTCCTCTCGTCACACTGAAATGTATGATGTATAGTCCTTATGTCAGTCTGGTACAATACTAGCCATTTACTTCTAAATGCATTGATTAGGTTGTCCTACAAGCGTCAGCTGTAGGGAATTTCCCTTTAGCTCAGCGGTGGTAGAGCATCGGGCTGGAGAGTCATTGGAGGGTCCCAGGTTCGAGCCCCAACGAAAACACTATCTTTATCACTATTCCTCGTCCTATTACAAACTGGTGCCGTTAACCCTCCCCGTTAAAGGTAGGAGAACCCTTGGCGGGGAGTCAAAGAACTTGGTTTGTTGTTTGAAAAAAGGGGGGAATAGTGTAAAAGATGTGCATTGATTAGGTTATTTTACAAGCGTCAGCTGTAGAGAATTTCCCTTTAGCTCAGTGGTAGAGCATCGGGCTGGAGAACCAAGGGTCGCGGGTTTGAGCCCCAGCAATGGCACTATATCTTTATCACTATTCCTCGTCCTTTTACTTCTGAATTAACTAGGGACATTTTCTCTTCAGTTCATTCCGTTGAACTTCAGATGAGTAAACCAGTAGTCCCAGGTCCCTCTCTTATTAGAGGCAATGAAAATGTACAGTGGCACTCATGTAAGAACCTGACTTATGTAAACTGATAACAACCTCGTATATGGCAAATACCAAGTGTCCTATATGTCTGATTTCATACGTGAACAAAAGATAGGAATCATGTGTAGTGTAGACATTCATCATATGTACTGAAAAAATGCAGTAAATAAACATACCTTTCTAATTGCAAATTTCATAAATAGAAATACAAAAAATATTTTATTACTTACGATTACTCCCCTTTTCTCGAGCTCTTTGAAGACGTAAGAAATGTTGACCGAAAATGAGAGAGACAGCTGGGCACCACGCTGCTCTGGATCAGACGGAGTGAAAATGTGTACATGTTCCAGGTCTCCGTCTTTCGGCTCTAGAGTCTTTTCTGCTATCCCATTGGTCTGTCCATACTTTTCTACGATGCGGTATTCCAGGTAGGCCGTCAATAACTTTGATTTGGCTCGTATTTCCTCCAAGGAGGTTTTGTTGAATATCTGAAAGTTTGAATAATTCAAAATCTTGATTTGCTAGATCAATTGTTTAGTGCTGTACAAACATGTAGCCACGTAGCCTGTTCTACGGCTTCACAACTAACTACATTATGTATGCAACAAATGTAAATATATCCCATCGCACCACCACCTGTGAGTTTGCCCTCGAAGGAATTTTAGCTCAAAATATATGGATTGACAAAACTTGTTCATGTCACAATCACAGTCAGGCCTTATCATATATTGTCTAAAAATTGTAAAAAAAACTCCTTCGAAAATATCATAGATAAAAACATTGCCATGTCATTTTCATGTTAAAACCGTTGTCAAAAGATATTGGCCTGGATGGATGTAGGCCAATACCGTGTCTCGCCACCCTGTTCCGGCAAAGGACAAATCAAAAAAATAATACTTTAAATGATACTATTGTCACAAGACAATCACTCATATGTCTTTTTTTTTTTTACATATTTTTCATGAACTGTTTTGTTTTATACTCATGTTATGTATTATTTTAAGAACAATTATTCTATTTTGTCCATAATATAACTTACTTTATGTTTTCGTTTGTAATTATATGTTAGCAATACTGCATATATATTGAAACTGTGCTTTGTAGACATAACAGTTTAAGCTTTGTGATGACAACACGTTCGATCTACCACGGCATTGATATAACATTATATATTTGAAATTGTAGTTACTGTTGCTTCAGGATGTACACCTCTGAGAAGTCAAAAACTTTTTATCTTATATGGATTTTCGGAAAAAAAAGTTAATGGCATAGTAGAAAATGCAAAACAATCTATATGTCGGTGTGTTCGTTTTTGTGCTATGATCGGTCAAAGATACCAATTTAACACAACATGTGATTTTAGGTGATTTTTTGGGGTTTGACCATTTGCGGAACAAATTCATACAATTTCTTTCAAGTGTGTTATCAGATATGTATGAATGTTTGTAGAATTGATAAAAATATTATTTTCTTTTCAATTATGGAAGTAAAATTTCTTAATCTTATTCTTTTAACTCAGAAAGCCGATTTTAGTTACCCCTACACCCTATTTTTTAATGAAAAAATACTCATTTTTTTACATTTTTTTGCAGATTAAACGCTTGATATAAAAAGTTCTGGTATTAAACTTTTTTTAATATTGAAGGAATTAAAAGAAATAAATGTGTTTCTCTTTCGAAAACATCCATAAAAATGGGGGGTCGGTGGGCTTCTTTTTTTGTCCCATTATCATTTGTGTAATTTTTTACCTTTTTCGGGGTCAAAAATCAAAAGTGCTTCAGTTACACTAAATATGTAAAAAAAATATCAATAATGTATAATTTTCCAGTTTGTTGCATATTATTTTTATCATATTTAACATTATAAAGTTGTACAGCAAAATTGAACCTGCTATAATTAAAAATGGCGACACAATGACAACTTAAGTGATCAATCTAGTGTCAAAAAAGGTGAAATTTTTGCCTTTTTTGAAGCCCAAGAAATACACATTAATACTCATTTTCAAAATGGCCGCCGAATTGGTATTTTTTTAAATTCTTGTAAAAAAAGTTCTACAAACAACAGACATCTAGTTTTTTGACATATTTTTCAGAAGCGTGTTTGCTAATAATCTTGATCATAGTTTGTTAAATATTACAAAAACCCGTTACACCAGATCAAAACGAGACTTGAACGTGATTGAAACCTCAGAAGAGTACATCCTTAATACATAATTTTCTCCCATCGCTGCCATTGCAAGAAACACGTTTCCCATGTGAAACACCCATGTGGGATTAATGGACAGAGAAATTGCATTCCTTGGATAAGAGTTTGGCTATCCAGCACGAGGATTCACCGAGTGATGGAAAGACAAACTTTTACCAGAGTTTGGAAATTTCTCTATTCACGGAACACATCCATGTTGGATTCTTTTTCTATCATTCTCGAAATAAATATGCCAGTGTCAATACTCTACACATATTCATATGTTGTTTATCACGACAGACGTGCATGAATACAGTTCTGTGAATTTCATTTGGGTGATGAAATCTGAACACAAAAAACAGAAATCCAATAAAAGCGCTAAGCTAGCAATTTTTTGTTCATATCCAATAACAATAATATATCATTTTATATATCTTACAACAAGTACAATAATAATTTATTTAACATAGTCAATACAACAGAACTATTTCCAACGCCGACGGCTTTTGACGGATTTACCTGGCGACAAGATATGGCGACCAGAGATGGTGCCTGTAGATTCTTTTCCGACGGAAAGTCGGTATCCGTCATTGCCTAACGGAAATAAACAACTTTTTATAAACTTGCTGTGAAGCATTTTAAAACCTCTTAATTGTAAAGCATACCTTCAGTAAAATGTACTATTTCCCGATCTCTCCATAAAAGATCTTCGTTAATTTGTATGGAATCTTGAAAATCTACTATATTTGTTGGTACATTCGCAGCGTCATTGTCAATCTTTACCGAATATCTTGGTAACAGGTGGGAGAAAAAGAGTCAATCATTATGTATGTATATCTCCATCTCGTGATTATATTGTGAATTATATTACATATTATATGAGGTATCGCCATGATAATTTGATATTCTAAACTAAATAAGATATTGCCAAAATGGTGATTTACCTCGAGACTGGCTTTTATTGGTGGGTACAGGAGACCGGGCGGAGCACTGACTCTGTAACCGTACGCGCCTGTGCATAGGTCTAGTTCTGGTCAATAAACAGAATGCATACGATCAATTGCATAATAAACCTAAAGATATCAAAAAACAATTACTTAATCAACATTCTTTCACTAGAAACATTGTTGAGGTGCAGTGTCGAGGCTTTTTGAGTAGTTTGAAGTGTTTGACGTATTAAGTCTCAAGTGTTTGGCGTATTTGATTCCTGCTCTCATGAATGTAGGCCAATATCAATTTTTTCAACAAAGGTCATTAATATAAGACGCGAAATGCATTTCTTGCTACCTAAGCTACAAATGAAGTAGTAAGTGTTTTATTCTCCTTTGAAATTATACAAAGATAAGGACACGGCCACACTGAAATTCTTAAACTTATTGATAATAAAAGATATAAATTGCTGATTAGTATCGGGTTTATAACATATACCTATCGTTTGCTGGGGCACCTACCACTTTCCTTGGTCAGGGTTGTGCCCCCACTGCCTTCTTGGGGTACCTACCGTTTTCCTTGTTGAATCTATTGTTATGGTTTTGTTCCCATAGCATGTTTTTGGAACCAACGGCTCCCATTCTGAATAGAGTTAGTACTATGCATTGTTTTGTTGGTGGTTCCTGCCATCACCCTTCTTGCCACTAGTGTAAGGGTTGTATTCCTGCTGTATTATAGGGTTACCTACTATTGTCCTTGTTAAATGTATTAATAGGGTTGTGGCCCCTTCTGTAGTATAGGGTTACCTACCAATTTCTCCTTGTTGAATATATTGATGCTCACCTGGTCCGAACGAACTCTTCTGAATGACCAAAAAATCACAGGGCAATGATAATTGGCCAGTAGCATGCTATTATGAAGGCCTATCAAGTGTGTTGAAATGAATGACCTTGAATTATATTCAAGGTGACGGGGGTCAAATATGTTAAAAATCTTTTAAACAAATTCTTCTGAATAACCATGAGACCCAGAATAATGATAATTGGCCATTATAAAATGCCATCAAGTTTGTTAAAATGAATTACCTTTACTTATATTCAATGTCCCAGGGGTCAAATATGTTTGTAATCTTTGAATAACCAAAAGCCCCAGGATGATGATATGTATTTAGCCCGTAACATATTGGGATGAAGGGCTACCAATTTTATTGAAACTAATGACCTTGACCTTTATTCAATGTCACAGGGATAAAATATGTTCAAAATCTTTAAACGACTTCTCCTGAATAACCAAAAGGCTGTTTAACTGGTAACATGCTGGGATGAAGGACTACTAAGTTAAATGAAATTATTGACCTTGACCTTTATTCAAGGTCACATGGGTCAAATATGTTTTAACATATTTTAACTACTTCTTTTGAATAACTTAAAGGAACAGAGTGATAATATCTAGCCAGTTGGATAAATGGCTATCAAGTCATTTTTAAAGCCCTTGACCCACTTTCAAGATCACATTTGGTCAGATATGTATAAACATTTAGATGAACTAATCTCATTAAATGAAAGGTCTAGGGTAGTGATATATGGCAAATTGCATGCTGAGATGAAGGGCTATAAAGTTTGTTCAACATAATGACTTTGTTCGACTTTCTAGGTCACAAGGGTCAACTGTTTTAAAATATTTTATCATGTTCTTTTGAATGACTTATAGTCATAAATACTGATATTTTGCCTGTAGCTTTATTTTAGTTCACTTTTAAGTGTAAGATTAATACCAGGTGAGCGATGAAGACCCATTCGGCCCCTTGTGTCTAGGGTTGTGGCCCCTTCTGTATTATAGGGTTACCTACCATTGTCCTTTTTAAATGTTTTACTAGGGTTGTTGCCCTTTCTGTATCGTAGGGTTACTTACCATTGTCCTTGTTGAATGTAATACTAGGGTTGTGGCCCCTTCTGTTTTGTAGGGTTACTTACTATTGTCCATGTTGAACTTAGTGTCAGGGTGATGTCCCCACCAGCCTATCAGCTTAGGGAAGTCGTTCTGTTTGTGTTTATTGTGGAGAAAGATACACGCCAGACTGCCTGGACTGGAGTTCATATACTGTAATACATTATAACCAACGTTACGCTACTCTTGTGCCAACAGATTATCTCAGAGTTCAAATATATGCATATATAGACGATATGTTTTAGCTACTGTTCGAATACTATAATAAGTATGCAATGATATTAATTAATGCAGCAGTAATTATTTTTAAAAAAAGTTACACAAGAATTAAATTAACCGCAAGTGAATTGGAAACGAATTTCTTATCTTCTGTATAACAATATAAAATGTAAATATCCACGGAAATATGCTTCTCTTGTCGACAATGAATACATAAAGAAAAAATTGAATGTAACCGGTAGATAGGAACTTGTTGGTAGCTTTAAGTACGTACACCAGCATATTATGTCACATTCAGTGTTTCCCAGGACGTAGCATATTTGTACACCGTCATACAGTCATATGGAAAGAAGCTTGGGATACGCATCTACAAATCCGTAGAGTGAAACCCGTGTCGTATTTACGGATACAATAACACAGCCATTAAGATCGTGATTTAGGACCTACAGTTGTAACTAAAATACGTCCAAAAGAAAAGAAAAAAACATCACAAAGAATTAATCTGGAACTCACCTTATAGGTACACCAACAGGCGAAGTCAATATCCCAATCATGTAGGTATAGTGGTACATTACCAGCAGCATGTGCCAAATCAAACCCCACGTAACACCCCTAAAACATAATTAGCACTCAGAATGCTAATTTAATCTTGCTGCGGTTATTATTACATTCAGTTCCTGGAAAGGACCATTGTAATCAAAGCCTGGTGATGATTTCTTCAACAGAACTCAACTAAATGAAGAACTTAATAAAGGAAATTATGCGATGAATTTTGTCTTTGTAATTCGCTAACACTTTAAATTGAAAATATATACATCAGCAACAGATCTAAATAAAGCAGACAGATGGACTACCCTTCAAGAGGGCTTTACTGGTCATATGAATTGTGATACAATTATTATTTGTTGGTATGATGACATTTATAGATTATCACACGTTATTTGCAGGGTTTGTAGTGAGAACAATTTCCCATCGCGAGCACTTGAATTAAATCGAGAGGCCACCGCAGGTGGACTCGAGATTTTATCTACGTGCGAGCAATGAGAAAATTGTTCGAACGACAAACACTGAAAATACTGTATGATTTACTATTTATCATCTATATACTACTACCTTATATATTTCTTCATTTGAAAAACTCAATTAAACACCATGTTTTCCAAATGACCTCTAAGCTCAAAGGTCAACGATCGCCTGTGACAAACGTAAACAAATAGATGTTTTGAGCGGAGGAATACAATGAACCTTAAAACTACGTAGATTTTTTTTAAAGCAATCCTTTCGTCATTGGCTTTTATATGCACATTTACACTTGAAAGGTTTATAATTCTCCCAATATTTTTCCGTAACTTTTTACTGACATGTTTATGACGGACTATTTTCTAACGCGGATCACGTTTGTATGGACACTATTTCCGGTTTTGGACGTGATCTGGCGCAAGCAGACGTTCTTTTTTGAGAAAATACGTTCCCAACTGCTTGGGAATGTGAAAATCCATTCTCAAATTCTTCTCAAGTTGTTCTCAAGTCATTCTCAACTTCTTCTCATACTGACAACCAATGATAATGAATTTATCATGCTACCGGTATGTGGTATAAAGTAGTATATAGATGATAAAGCAAAATACTACATCCGAAGCAAATATATATGTTTAATGATGGACTGGCAACTAAATGATGTAAGGGAGTGATCAACACATATAATATACAGCTCGTATCTGTCGGACAATTAACAATGCCTATGAAAGACTTCTCCAATATTCAATCAAATTGAAATCAGACCTCTCCAGAGCTGAGAGGCGAAGGCAACGAAGCTGTCTTGAGAGGTCAGATTTCAATTAGATTGCTCCAATCTCCAGCATACCAGTTAATATGGAATCACAGCATGACCTGGGCATTATGCGTATTGAGAAAAAAATATTTTTGTTCATCCAATTTCAACTTTGTGGTTTTAATTTCCCTATCATCAAACCCTCCCGTTATTAACTCATCCAAGTCAAAATTGTTCACCACTTAAAAGCAACAAAATATGTACAAACAAGCGTTGTTTTCCACAATATAAAAAAAATAAATAAAAAGCAATGCAAAAGGTTGATATTTTTACATAGGTGAAATATTCATTACTTTTATTACCAAATAGAACATTATCTGTTGGTTATAATTCCTTACCTTGGCGTGACCAGCACGTGTAATACTCAGCATGTCAAACATCTGCCCGGTGTAGTAGTGTACCCCGCTGAAACATATAACAGCAATAGAGTCGCCTTCCTCCTCTATCTTGGCTAGAATGTCCTCAGTCCTCAGTGTTACCTCACCCTGAAGTACAAGTATTCAGGATTGCTTCATAAACAGTAAAACACGCTTCGCTTATGGCGAATCACAAATGGTCTACACTAAGTATTTATTTAACTTCAACGCATTTTGTTCTGTTGATGAGACAAAAATGTTATTTCGTTCAGAATGCATTCGTAATAAACGTTACCTACTGACTACAAAAACTGTATTGAAGGATTCATATTAATCAAGTCATAATATCCGTATTATATACTTTACATAATCTACCAAATATCAATACCGGTCATATTAGTATATCTATATGAAACTTGACACTTAGAAACAAACTGAATCTAAGAAGAACTGAGATAACTACGATGTTTTTTTTTTTTATTTGCTTGATATCTTTTTTGATTCGTTCATATTTTTTTTATTAGCTTGTTTGTTTTCCTTCTCTTTTCAGAGAATTGTTAAGTCATTATAATGTTGTTATCTAGAAATGAGCGAGACTCAGCTCTTACAGGAAAGAAGATAACAAACTGACTTTCGTAAAAAGGTATGTTTTAACGGGGGAAACTAAGCTGTAAATGAAAGTTATTTTAATGAAAATGATAATGATGTGACTGGTAATGAAGGTGACTAAGCTGATAACGAAAGAAATGCAACCGGTTAAGGGGGTAAGTAAATTGATAAATAAGATCCGACTGGCAATGAAGTTGTGTTAACTGCAATAAGAGGTTATTCATGTGGTAATAAAGTTGATTCACAATTTAAACTTGTCAATAAATCAAATTGTCTTTCCCAAAGTGCTATCAGAAACTAATAGCATACGCTACTTCGTACCAAACAGTACATTTAATAATCTTAAGCAGTATATTTTAGTATATTCTTACTACTTTTGGTTCAACACATAGCAGACTTGTTTCTGGATCATATCCGTGCAGGCTTATTTGACTTTGGAAAGTGTACTGAAAAGGAAAATATCAATATTATAAATTTAAAACAATAAAACAATTTGAAACTTAAATATATATATATAAATATATATATATATATATATATATTTAAAGCACCTTTTACTCTAGATAGTGTTTAATATCAGTGTCATATTACACAAGGACAAACTTCGGTTATAAACTTAAATGGTGCTTCAGTAACAGCGCAGATTTTCATTTACTAGTGCTTATCGTCATCATTGGTACAAACTTTCTTTAATTTGTTTTAATCCAATTTTTCTACAAATTACGTTAATACTTTATACTCAAAACCACACGTTGACCGATACTGTGTGCCACACACACACACGTGAATTACATCGTTACACTACGGACACATTCAACACAGCAGGTATTGAACTCAATACATCTTACATTCATACATCATCTGCCAACACAATAACAAACTATGCAAACACGCATACATCTAAAACAGTCACCGATCCTTCGATATGTATATGCATCAAACAAACAGGTAACACATACAAGAATGAACACTATCCCGAGCCTTTTATCACACATTGCTTAATTATCATATTTTTTTACAATATTGATACAGTCTTGCATAACGTTCACTGAACGTCAGTGGTTGTATAAAAATACATAGCATCTACCCTTTTACTTTCAATCATTATATAAACTATAACTTCAGTACAAGAATAAACAAACATAATGCTGCTCTTCAGTAACATTACGGTTTTTATTATTATTATTATTTTATATTAAATTCCTCAGCAGCAGATTTCCATGTGTATATATACATAAATCTTACTATATGCATAATATTATGTACATATAAAGTAAACATAGCAGTACGATCTTACTTAATGCTTAACTTCATAATTAACATACAGAGTAATAAACCGCAGTACAAGTATATACGTACATAATGCTGTACTAAGGTAATATTTTGATCTTAAATAATGCTATACCAAAAAACAATATACACCGACAGAGTATTAACTTCGGTAGCAATATAGACTTACATAATCAGATGGAAAGGCGTTAGTCTCACACAAAATCTTGTGTCGCTTCTGAGTCGGACGATAGAAAGATATCTACAGAAGAGACAAAATAGTAAAACAACCAATGTATTTCTCGAAAAGATTTAGAATTATATTTAAGTTATTTGAACATCTTGAACAATGAATCGCAGAAGATTTTCTAATATCACTGCAATTGGAAGTTGTGGTAATGCTAAGTGTATAGAACCATATAGGGTCGGTGATATCAATATTAATAAAACCGATGATTTCAGTAAAATTTGGCTTGTGGATTCGCACCAGAGAAGATAGTTTTCCACATCTTTGTGAAGTATCATGCATGACAATCAGTAAAGCAAAACCAGCAAACATTTTAGCGAAACATATAGTAACAGCGACCTAATTTTGAAATCAGGAGGTTGAAATGCGAACTTGTAACAAGAGCTATGTTTGCTAACATATATATGAAGTTTGCATGACGTTTGGTTACAGTTGATTAGCTGAAGAAGTTAAACTTTCTCAAAATCCGTTCAACTATTCAGGCCCAATGAAGGCCATAACCTTTATACAGACACTGGAATATTTCAAACCAAATTTGGTTAAAAAAACCATAACCCGTACTTGAACGAGGTAGTTTTTGTTATTTACCCCCGTTTCCCCCATACATCTCAGTTCTTCTGACTCCAGGGGCCCACAGCAGGTTTGTACAACATGACAACATTATTGTAGAGATGCTACCTACCGAACATATTCATCGCTTTAAGAATTATTCAAACAAAACCTGTTGTTTTTATTATCATTATTTTTTTTTTTTTTTAATAATTATGCATACTTACAATGATGACATGAGGACTCGTCAACTCATGAAGCTTCAAGACGTTGACTGACGACCGACGACGATTGCCTCATTAATGCATAAGATCAGGTAGCCCCTCGGCCATATGAGATTATGTGTATACACTTCATTTTAACATTGTTTTAGTTAGGGTTTATGAATCATGAATCTTCAAGGCATTTACTGACGACGAACGACAAATGCCTCAAAATGGCAAAAGATCATGTGTATGTAGTCCCACGGTCCACATGAGCTTTATGTGTGGTTTGTATTTCACTAGTATGCCTTTCCCAGAGTTAACAGTTTTATATACACCGGTCTTTAACTTACAAGTAGGTGATGAAGGTTGACGGTGAGTCCGTTCATAATGGCAACCTCCCCTGGTCTACCGCCTGTATTACATCAAAATGGAAATGGAATGATCAAAAAAAAATTCACACAAATCTAAACTTGATCTATTTTGATATGTACATGTAGTTTTAAACTTCTATTCGGACATTCATTTGCTGGTTTTTTTATGTTATTTGTGATGAATAACAAGTTCAAATATAAACATTTCAACGCATGGAAAATTTAAACCTAAGCAAAATTGAAATGTAAAGGGGTAACGTGAACGTTTATTCTGACTTGAAGATGCCCATATCACTTCCAAAATGTCTCATTAAATATATACAAATTCAAACAATTTTGTCATAAAATATTGTGCGAAATAAATCAATCAATCAGAATGAAACAGACTCATTAAATATGTAAGGAATATGTCGAATTTCAAACCAAGCAAGTTTGATCAAAATTGTATGTACCTTTATAAGATATCAAACAGAGAGCAATTAGAATGCAGCAGCTTAGTTAAAAATATGCGCTCAAATTGTCGACCATCGAATCTTAGGGAGAGACTCGGGTAAATAGTGAATCAGCCAAGTTTAATCATAATCTGACCTTTTCTTTATAAGATATCACAAAATAAGCAAAACTCATAAGGCAGACATACAAATTACTATACTGCACGCATCTTCGATGCAAGGCCCTAATTAGAGCCACCGGGGGGAGGGGTGTTGAGGGGGGTTGAGGGGGGATACTACAGTGGAATTCTCAAGTATAATGCCTGTAGTGGGACAGAAATGTTCAACAATCACATCTTACCGACGATCTTGGCCATGTCTGTGTCCAGGTGTTCGTGACAGTTTACCCAGGGCACATCCTGGTGGTAACCTTGCGCTCCACTGAGACATATCAATATAATTAACATAATGAACATAGTAATCATACTTCTACTGTATACCGGTTAATTTTCGCTGCTGTTAAATTTCCGCCTTTTCGCCTTTCATAATAAGGGCGAATTTATCATTACAGCGAACATTTGTGAATAATATAATATATATATATAAAAAAAAGATAATAATATCAGATGGGCGTATTTGATATTAAGCGAAAATGGATTTTACCGTCGAAGGGCGAAAATTTCCGGTATACAGTATGTTGTCGTGGGGAGCTGATTTAGATTAATACGCATTTTCGGAAAACAGAACGAAGTCTAATTCAAAGGTCTGGGTGAAATTTCAATGTCCTCTTATTATCTGCTGAATATATGATAGGTAAACTTCAACAGGAACCATGGATGGACATTTTACCAACAGTAACTCAGGAAATAGGACTTTTCGTCACATTTATAATAGTTTAGCTAAAAAAACATCTCACGTTTTTGCCCACTTCTCAAGTTGAACGTCCATGTACTGTTTCGTCATTTTCGGACACAGACCTAAGGAGTTTCCACAAAAGTACACACAGTCCTCGTTAGGGTCTACCAAGCTCAGGTCCGCTACAATGGAAATAGGGCATGCAAGTGTGACTATCTCTAAATGTTAAGTAAGTACATAATTATACACAGTCCTCATCAGGGTCGACTAGGTTCAGGTCCGCTACAATGGGAATAGGGGACGTAAGGGTGACCATATATCAAGGTAAATTATATATATATATATATGGTACAGGTCAAAGAAGTAATATAGACGGTAAAATCCCATATAACACTGGATCCTAATGGAGGTATGTCCGTAGGATACGAATTACTTAAAATATTATATGGGGCAAAGAAGTAATTCCAACAGTGTGGACATATGGTACATATATACAGTCCTCATCAGGGTCTACTAGACCCAGGTTCGCTCCAATGGGAGTACTGGGGAATGTAAGTGTGACCAATATTAAGGTAAACTATGGTACATATATACAGTCCTCATCAGGGTCTACTAGACTCAGGTTCGCTACAACGGGAATAGGGAAAGTAAGTGTGACCAATATTAAGGTAAACTATGGTACATATACACAGTCCTAATCAGGGTCTACTAGAATAAGGTCCACTTCAATGGGAATAGGGAATGCAAGTGTGACTATATATCAAGGTAAACTAGAAGAGATGAAAGTACTAAAGACTCTTTGTTAAGAATTTTTCTTTATATAATATATATATATATATATATGGTACATATACACCCTCCTCATCAGGGTCTACTAGACTCAGATCCACTTCAATGGGAATAGGGGACGTAAGGGTGACTTTATATTATGGTAAACTATGGTACATATACACAGTCCTCGTCAGGGTCTACTAGACTCAGGTCCGCTTCAATGTGAATAGGGAATGTAAATGCGACTATATATATATTTTACGTTAAACTAAAGTACATAAATGAAGTCCTCATCAGGGATTACCAAACTCGGGTCCCCTACAATGGGAATAGGGAATGTAAATGCGACTATAACTTAACGTAAACTAAAGTACATATGCACAGTCCTCATCAGGGTCAAATATTTTGTACAATTTCCTTCCAGTTTATGAAAAACTTATCACAGATAGAAAAGATGTGCTTTTGGTTTGGTTTGGTTTGTTTGTGTTTTACGTCCTATTAACAGCTATGGTCATTTAAGGACGTGCCATGTTTTGATGATGGAGAAAAGCGGGAGTTGCCGGAGAAAAATCACCGACCTGCGGCCAGTACCTAGCGACTACCCCACGTAGGCCTCGAACCCGCGAAAGGATATGCAATTGTATGTTATTTTTGCTCTTTACATTTCATTTAAATTTTTCTGATAAACATGCAACTAAATCTGCAAGCAAAATAACACGAAAATACAGATCTTGCAAAATAAAACAAATCAATATCACCACAGTTATAGACCATTCTTTGTTTCTGACATATCTGACTTTTAACAAGAAAGATGACATAGATACAAAAGATCTCAAGTAGATCCCAGATACTGTATTTAACATAACACTTATTAATATTGGTTTATTTCTTTTAGTATGTAATGCTTATTAAATGTATACGGAAGGTTGTATAGTATATTTACTCTGATTGAAAATTACTATGCATACATGATACAAGACAGAGGGGGAGTTATCACGTGTTTTTAAATTGCAGTACAAATCAATTAGCCAAGGGTCTTACCGCCAAGTAAATCCTTCATTTTTGGGTAGCAAAAATCCTGCCGTAGACTCCGAAGGGGGTCATTGTCGTCCATATGCTTTGCGAATTTCTGATCAGTTATGTCATTCTTGATTTGTTTCGCGATTCTCTTGAATTCCTCCAAAGGGTGGGGCGAATTTGGTATTTCATTTGTTGTAACCTGGGGGTTGTTGTCTTTCTCTGACATTATACCTGAAATACACGTACCATGAATTTAGTTAAGCATTATGCTGCTCTCAGATGCTGTTCATAGGTAATATGAATGCTCACTGCATCACAGGAAAATAACGAAACCGCGTTAGCAATTCATGTTTCATTTTCCTGTAGTGCAGTTGGCATTGCGGTGGTTCAAAAAGAGCAAGAAAACGTTTACAGGACTACTCCTCGGCAGCATCACTAAGTTTTCCGAAGCACTTACAACGCAAGCGTTATTACTAATACCACAGTGTCGCCTACTTCTTGCAGTGAGCACTCGTCCGTCAGCGCTTACCTTGACTTTAAAAAAACATGCATGTAAGAAGACATAACCTTTCGCAATGCTGACTTTGATGGACAGGTTGAGTTTCTTAAGTCAGCTGACTAGGAGCTCCAAGGTGACATTGAATGAAATACGAACCTTTTCGATTCATATCCCATACAACTGTAATCATTTTACCTTGGCGAAGAACAGTATCTGACTAAAAATATCACAAACAAAACGTTCATCATATTAAAGCTTAGTTAACCGCTAGTCTCCCGAACAAACTTCAGAACTAATCGCCATCAAGTAATTTCCTTAATCAAGAAGGCTAACGAAAATCACAATAATCACCAATGGACAAACCATCTTCCCGGGAAATGTTGGCATTATGCAAAACTGGTTATGAATCTAAAAGCCAAAAAATAAAAATATGTATTATTGAAACCATGCTTAGTGTTAGCTTTCTGTAGTAAAGTTATGATGTACATTATAAGGCGGGCGTTTGTGCAGGATTTGTCTGATGCCTTATTCCTTGTGTCATCTAACAATAAAGCACAGGAGACATATATTAACACAAGTGTTTATTTTACATTGAGTACACAATTTAGTATTTACACTTTATATTGTTAATGATATTTTATGTAATAGTATATGTATATACCTGTAGTGAACTAGAAATACACTCCAGTATTTAAAGTATAAATATGTAAGTGTTGATCTAGTTCAAAATCTTAAGTATGAATATGCATAGTAAGTGTAAACATTGTGTAAAACTTTATACCAGGAAATGTTTGTTGTAGTTTAATTTTCATATTTCCCGCCTTCTGTAATGAAGTAAAATACATGCACACATCAAACAAGCGTAAACAACAAAATATACATAGTACCTGAATTGAAGGGCGAATCTAATATTGGGCAAAAATGGATTTTACCATAAAAAAAAACACTAGACTAAAATCTTCCTGTATAGAGTATACTTGTATACATAATATTTGTGCCAATTTTTCCCTATGCCATATATGACTTCTTGAATTACAACTCTGAATGAATTGGTACAAAAACGAAACTTTTTGAGTGACTATGACGTGTCAAATTTTGTTATATTAATTTTGAACATAAGTATAAAATTATTAAATATTGTAACGTTTGACACGCTATGATATGACACTTCAATGAAATATTATTTTTATAGTTTGAAGAAAGTATACTCATCTGATTGATGTATCTATCTTTAAAGCGTTATTCTCTTACCTTAGATGAATGCACGTGAACAATGCATTACAGACGATACGAATGCACCTAGCACTTCAAAGTCATTAGAAATGCAAACTTGTTGGCAGCAAAATGTCGAAACGCAATCATTGTCCTGCCCAGTTCTTGTCGTCTTCGTTATAACCAGATGGAAGACTTCTGTGCTGTCTTAATATTCGTACTACAGCTGCATTACTATCGAACACCTTGACCCCACCACTGGAAACATTCTCTGCAAAAATAATGCTGACAAATGTCCACCAGGGAGACACACGCTTTCCATTTTAGTTTTCCCATTTCTTCTATCAGTCTATTCCTCCGTTTGTATAACGCTCTCTATATACATGAGTGTGTGTTGAAGGCGTTCTGTTTTGCGATGAGACCGTGCATCCAATGAAATCGATTTTTCGATATTGAAAACTTGCTTGAATGTTAAAGATATTGTAGCACCCCCACCACAGACAAGTTGTATACTCTTATGCAGCATATGGAGTTGCCTTGGTAGTAAAACATAACACTTCTCCTTAACATTCCAAGCTTACAGTTACAACGACTTCGGAGATTAAACCCCGCCTGTCTGCATGGAAGGCCGAAGTATATACCACTCTGTCAAATCTCACATGTGTTGCCTTCTTCCGTGTAAATGCCTCTCGACACCTTTCCTCTCGTGGTACCTCCAACTTCTTCATTAACCATTCTTTTTCAGTGCTATGACCAGAAAAGTGATCCTTCTCCATAGCGCAAAATGTTCTCCAAATGCAAGCGCACACGGTTGATGAGGGAACTCCCATCAGCTGGCTTTCTTCATGTCGTATGCCCCTCTTTAGAATTTCGGCAAGTTCACTCGGCACATTTTCTTGTCTGTACAGTCCATAAGCAAGAATACTGCTACATAAAGACAGTAATAACATAGTTGAGACTACCTGGTATATTGAATTCAGATTTTTGTCTGTCGTTGGTCATTGTTATGCTGCATAGGGATAGAACGGTGTTAATTTTTTCAGCAATCGTCCTATCATCCACCCAGCACTGTAAAGTCGAGTTATGGCTTTTAGGAAATAATATTTTACTGTGACATTTTTTTTTTATTTCGATTTATGTATGTCGATTTCCTCACCAAAGCTTTCGTTGCTTACTGCATCTGAAATAAATGCCCATAAGTAGATGTGTCTTTCATGTATTTTACACATGGCTTAAACGTTATATTGTCACAACCATGTTGTTGTTCTTCTTTTTTTACCACAAAAACAGTCATCAACATTTAAAAACAACTCTCACCTAGAAATATGTGTGTGTTATCCTTCAGTATCTTTCGTACATGATCATGCTCACACTTTACCTATATCTATCGTGGTTGTAGTTTCTTTAGGCGCTGTCCGTTTCTGCCTGACCTTTCTACGATAGGTTGTGTAGACTTCTTTAGAGTGTTCACTGTCGGATATTTGTATGTTCTTGTCCAGATTGGAGCAGAAAAAAGTGTGATCCTACCTTCGCTGATTTCGCATGTTTTTCAGGTTACATATGTGTTGTGTCTCCGTAATTCAAACGCTAAGAAGATAGATGGTTTTAGAGGTACCATAAAAAACCGTACATGTCATTATACCTTACTCAACGCTAAGTGTCACTAAGATAGCCAGAGGGTATAAATAATTATATGTATACATGAGTACACACACATGAATACACATATATGTACCGTCGGGGGGCTATGTAAAATCTGTAGCGGTACGCCGTTTTTAGACTGTGCAAAGCCTAAACGATGGATATAAATTAGGACATAACTTTTATTATCACTATAAACTGTATAACACGACCCATAAAATAGGTTCTTTCGCTCATTCAGCGTAAAACCCTACAAGGTTAGCGCGGGTAAAGAAGGGAAGCCGACAGTGCTATATGGACCTATAAGTTAGGTAGGAATAACGGGATAAGCGATTTTGAACTAATAATCAATATCTGTTTATATTGAGGGGCTCTAGGCGGCGCGTCGATTTACCCAATACAACCCACCCAATACTACCCAATACAAGTATCGATTTACCCAATACTATCCAATATAAAGTTAAAAGTACAAGTAACAATGGTGTGCGGACCATGGTATTTTTGGCAAGATAGTCGTTATTTAGAATTACTTAATTCAATATATTACATTTCAAACTATTTCATTGTTAATACAAAGATAAATACACCTATTATAGAAGAAATATAACAATACATGTATTAACAAAGGGACCAGACAACAGGCTTATTCTATATACATGTAAGTCTTTTCCTATAGATACCGGTATCCTATTATTTTAATTTCATTAATATAATGAAGTTTTGGGTGGAAGATAGGACAATAATGGAAAGAAAAAAAACTATAATGAAAGAACACATATACTCATTCACTCTCATACTACCATTCGTTATTGGTATATTTTATATCGTTAGAACTTGCATGTATAAAATATTACTTATAAATTGAGAATCGTTTATTTATTTTTTTTAAATATGAACTAGTATGATTAAGTATATTTCTATTAGTTTCGTTAGACATACCAACGATACCATGACAACATGAAGATTTACAAATCCGAATAGATTATACACAGAGAAGATGTGATGTCTAAAATACCTATAAAGAGGACAGAGAAGAAAAAATGTATTGTATTTTCTATATTTGCACCACATGAACAGGAACTCAAGCTACATGTATGTTGCATTCACGAATGGAACAGTAAACGAATGGATACATATTAGTAAAACGCTTTTCTTAACCTAGCCATATTTGTTAATGTCTTAACAACAATACATTATATCTATTGACAAGTAAACGATGTCTGGAAAGAGTGCTGGAATATTTCACTAGTGGTAGATAGTAGGACAATAACGGGAAAAATATACTTACTCACTCTCTTATGTTACCATTTGGTGTATTGTTAGAACTTATATATAAAGACATTACGTAAAAAAGAATATTTTTAAATAGGATCATTAACTATATTTCTGCTTGTTTCTGGAATACTGTATTGGGATATAGGAGATCGCGAGCAGCAACTAATTAAGCATCATACAATGTAGTTATACCGATATGTTGAAAACTTACGAATACATGTATGTGTTAATATTTGTATTCATGTTACGTTGTTCTTGTTTTTTTAATTTAGTTAACATTTTGATGAAATTTTTACCTTTAATTATTTCCGGGTAAACTAATTGAGTGTTCCATGTATATAAAGTGTATGCTTACTTTTGTCTCAATATTGAATGACTATTAATTCTATTAAGAACTACAAAAAAAGATAAAAACGAGGGTTAATTATTTGAAGCTCAACATTGGCTATGTAATTTTATTTTTTTCCTGACGTGAAACAATTCGAACAAGTTTATATAATTATCAGTGGTTTCTTTTGTAAAGCCGATGGAAAGCGTAAAGTAGTATTGAGTGACCCTGTAGTGGTTTCGGCTCTTACTATGTGTACGTACCCTTAGTCGCGAT